AATGCATTGCATGTCATATGACGTGATTAAAGAGGAGAAATAGGAAAAATGCCCTATGAGAACAGCATCAGTATCAATTAGTTGAATTTTAAAAGCCAGTTCAATGAACTGTAAGCAAGGAGTAGAAAGTGAGAAAAAAATTTATTACGATCTCGTGTATGGGAAATTGAGAACCTCAGACTTAATCCATCATCTTGAGCAATGGAACTATATCACAACTGCTGCTCATTGAATTACAGATTTCCAGTTTATTATATATTTAGACCAATGGAACAATTTCGCGACTGCTGCCTCCTCAACTACATCAGTTTTACACTACATGACCAGAAAAGTATGCTTTACTCCCTAATAATTGGCCTTACAACATTTTATGCAAGACCCTTCATTGACATATCTTGTCTAAGAATTTGGAAACGAATCAAAAAGCACCAATATTCATTTAACAAAAGTCACGAAAATTGGGTGATTGTTCTTTTAGGGAGCTTTTATCAATTGAGTTGTTCATAATAAAAAAAACATCTGGATGGATGGACTCCTCATAATACCAAAAATCACCTAACAAAATGCAAGAAATGCTAATCACAGTTTGGGCCTAGAGTTTGAGTTTATGAATCAGGATTGGAGTCTCGGCAGATGAAAAGACCCAAATTTTTGTTAGGACCATGTCTATACAATTGACTTAGTTTAATAAATAACAAATCTTCATACTAGTTTAATATGTGTTTGAGAAGTTGTATACAAGTTACAAAAAGTTAGAATCAAGTTCGAAAGTGAAAAGAGCAAGACAACAAGTTAATCACAAGTAATCTTGCAAAAATATCAGAAGCTAAAATCAATTGAGCATATGGGAGTGTCCGTCTCCTTGTCAATTTTGAGCATATAGGAGTGTCCGTCTCTTTGTCACAAATCTATAGAAATAAACCGAACTCAATTCGGTGATGTATAGCTTGAGATACACGTCTTAGTGAGAGAAAATCAAAACAAATCAGTAGCTAGCTGGAAACATGCACAGAGGGTGAAACTTGCACGGGCCATAACTTTTAACTCAGACACTCCATACAGCCCTTGGATCTGCGCCTGATCTCATTCGTCTTAGATATGACTTATTTAGTTCACTACAACCATGACATCCATCAAAATAATAATACTGATATTGTTGCACCTATGTCACAATTACCATAAACAATTCAACGTATGATGCAACTATATGTGCATAAACATAACTAAAATTGCAATCAAGGACATACTTAATAAGCCCTTGTTTCAGCATATTCTGCTCCTCAAAAGTCCACTCAAAATTGCAATCAAGGACATACTTAATAAGCCCTTGTTTCAGCATATTCTGCTCCTCAAAAGTCCACTCTAGCGACAACCCAGAATCCTGCCTGATCCCGGGAACTGGTTCGAGCTGCGTATTGCTCGACGAAGCCCCAGCTTGACCCCCAACAGCAGCTATGCTATTATTCACCAAGCTAGGGTTTCCAGTGAAGAACAAACCAGAATTCCCCAAATTTACAGGACCTGCTATCCCCTGTGGATTGCTATACCCACTCCCTGATTGAAAAGAGAGCATGTTTTGATTCTGCAGCATTGAAGGCATGATCCCTTGGTCAAAGCCCATATCAAAATCAAATTTCGAAGAATTTTTCCGCTTTTGAAACTGAAACTGGACCAGGATCAAAACCCTAAATGCCTAAAACCTCGGTAAGAGTTGAAACCTAGAAAAGGCTTATGGGATTCCTAATAGCGGCATTTTGAGCCCTAATTCGCCCCAGTTTTCTATTGCGGTTGAAAAAAGTTTGATTTTTTTTTCTAATTGATTCTTGCCATATGAAATTACCATATGATTCAGCCCCAGGCCCTATCTCCTGTCTTCCTCACACAATTCCCTCTCCCATCGGCACATCTCTGCTAAAAATTTAACAGAAAATACAATAATTTCATTTGCCATCAATATTCCCATTAGCATAATTGCACACAAATCCAATTAAAAGCCACTAAAAGTACTGAAAACAAACAAATCGAACTAAGAGAAGAAAAACCCATCAACTAAATTCAAAAAACATAATATCTTTGGAATCAAACCTTTAAATTCATAATCGCTCTCAGTGGTATCCCCTTCATTAGCACTAAAATCAGAGTATTTGGTGCTGATATTGAGCCATTTGCGGATCACAATCTTGGGCCAGAGCTGCAAACAATTAAGCCTAATACGTCTGCAGTTTATTTTCCCATTGCAATATAAACCGAAAACAAAAACAAAGAGAAAACAAAATAAAACAAAAGATGAAATTTCTTCTTCTATTCATTGCCAACGAGCTTATTTTTGAGTTGGGTATACTCACCTATTTCTGTCGCCTTGATCGCGGAGAGAGGTAGAGGAAGAGAACGAATGAGAGGGTGGCGGTCGGCGGTTTGGCGGCGGTCGTCCTCCAAACCTCAAATATTCCCATGGTTCTCCAACCCTCAAGAAACAGCAACAAACCCCTCGTTCTCAGATCAAAAAAAACCCAAATTAAACAATTAAAAAACCCTGTAAAAAACACCAACAACAAATAATAATAATAAAGAAATCAAAAACTGCATCCTCGATTCGATCCGACGCGAAATCATCATCAGAAATCAGCAGCAGCAGTGATCCCACGTGCCTCGATTCCAACGCAACCCTCCATTTGTAAAAACCCTAGCTTTCTCGAATGAGGAGGAGGCAGGCCTAGCTAGCTAGCTAGGGTTGGCGATGGAGAAGTACGAGCTCGTGAGGGACATCGGAGAGGGGCCGCAAGGTCCCGATGGGTCGATCTCGGAGAGAGAGATTTGAGAGGAGAGAGGGAGACGAATGAAATTCAATGAAATTGGTGGGTGGGGGCGGACCGGGAAGACGCAGATGAAATTTGGGGGGCGCCATGTTTTAGCTTCCGCTTAAGTTTTCAAAGCGTCGGAACAAAAAAAATTATGATAAGTACTTATAGCGTTTAAAATTTTCCAAACGCTATAAAAAAATAATGTATATAAGATCTATAGCATTTACAACATAAACGCTATCATTCAATGCTATAAAAAAATAGTTTTGTTGTAGTGCATGAATTCTGTGTCCAAACGCAATGCCTAAAAGCTTGAACGCAGCATCTGGAAGCTCGGACGCAGCGTTTGGAAGCTCCTTTGCAGCGATTTAAGAGCTGCGTTTGGCAGCGGATCTGAGCTGCGTTTACAGCAATTTGGAAGCTGCGTTTGTACGATTTAAGAGCTGCGTTTGGCAGCAGACCTGAGCTGCGTTTGGAGCCGGATGTGACCTGCGTTTACAGCGTTTGAAGACTGCGTTGGCGGCCGAATCTGAGCTGCGTTTGTAGCTTTTGGAGCTGCGTTTGAGCTGCGTTTGTGGCTATGAACGCGACATATCTTGATGCTGGTACGCGGGGAGGACTTCCACGTCTTGATTTGAAGAGATCGTCGATTTGTAGTCTCTTTTTGTCGAAGTGTTGCAAAGATCGTCATTTTGTAATCTTTACTTTAGCTCTCTAATATGTGAGAGTCGTCAGATTGTAACTCCCGATGTTGATTGTGGAGGCTGTTGATTAGAGCTTTCATCAATTGTTGTGAAGGTCGTCAGATTGTAACCTTCATCGATCCATGTGAAAGTCTTCAAATTGTAGTCTTCTGGAAGTCGTCAGATTGTAACTTCCATCATCGGTGTTTGATGGGGATCAGCTATCTATTGTGATTTTTAGACAGCCTACATGATCTTTAGTGGTAATGAAGGTAGTCCACAGTCAAAACTTATGTTATTTGAAAGAGAGCATCGAGATTGGCCAGATTGCTTTAGCTATTTCAGAGGTGGACATGAGCAGACTTTGGCACTACAAGTTGGGGTACACAGGAGAGAAGTCACTGCAGGCGTTGTGCAAGCAGAGACTATTGAAAGAAGCCAAGAGTAAAAATGTTGAGTTCTGTGAGCACTGTCTACTTAGTAAGAAGATGAAGGTGAAGTTTGGGACTGCCATTCATAGGACGAGGGGCATACTGGATTACGTGCACACAGATGTTTAGGATCCCACCAAGAATGTATCACTTGGTGGTCGATATTGGTTTATCACGTTCGTTGATGACTATTCTAGGCGTTGTTGGGTGTACACCATGGCAAAGAAGAGTGAAGTCCTAGATATATTTGTGGAGTAGAATAAGAGGTTGGAATAGCATACTGGGAGAAAGATCAAGACGTTACGATCCGACAACGGTGGTGAGTACACATCAGACCCCTTTCAGCAGTTATGTCGAGATGAGGACATAGAGAGACACTTCACAGTTAGTCACACACCGCAACAGAATGAGGGTGACAAAGAGGTTAAATCGGTCTTTGCTGGAGAAGATTCGATGTTTGTTGGTGCATAGTGGTTTGGAGAAGATCTTTTGGGCTGAGACACTTTCATATGCGAGCCACCTCATTAACAGGATGCCTTCACCTGCGATTGAGGGGAAGGCCCCTATGGAGATGTGATCAGGAGAGCCAGCACATGACTATGACCAGCTCAAGGTATTTGGGTGTCCTGCATACTATCATGTTAAGACTGATAAGTTAGAACCTCGAGCTAGGAAGACCATATTTGTAGGATTTAAACGTGGTGTCAATAGATACAAGCTATGAGATCCAGTTGATAGGAAGATTGTGCTGAGTAGAGACGTCATGTTCGATGAGGCTTATATCTTGAAGCTTTCCAGCTCTCATCAGGTGGAGAGTGACCCGACGGAGGAGATATCGTAGGTGGTGGAGATCGATGCAACTCCACATTGTCAAGATAGTACATTATCTATTAGGGTGTCGACTGAGGTGACGCCAGATGAGCACGACGGTGATTTGGGAGATACGAGTACACATGTGCAAGATCCAGAACCAACAGCTTAGGTTTAGGATTCTATTACGGTTCAGAGACAGAGGAGAGACATACAGATGCCAGCATGGTATACCGACATAGTAGTTGTATATGCACTTCCGATGGTGAGTATCGATGAGTTGGTGCCTACTACATTCAGAGAGGCCGAGTATAGTTCGAAGGCTAATTTGTGACAGGTAGCTATCCAGGAGGAGATGAAGTCTCTTCATAAGAACGATACATAGGAGCTTGTTGAGCTTTCAAAGAGACGGAAGGCGATTGGTTACAAATGGGTATACACGAAGAAGGAGGGCATTGAAGACACTCCAGTGAGGTTCAAGGCTAGGTTAGTTGCGAAGGGCTATACACAGGAGGAATGTATTGATTATAATGAGGTTTTCTCTCTGGTGGTGAAGCATTCTTCGATTCGGATTTTGCTAGCTTTGGTGGCAATGAGGTTTTCTCTCTGGTGGTGAAGCATTCTTCGATTCGGATTTTGCTAGCTTTGGTGGCACAGTATGGATTGGAGTTAGATCAGTTGGATGATTTTGCTAGCTTTGGTGGCACAGTATGGATTGGAGTTAGATCAGTTGGATGTGAAGACGATATTTTTTTATGGTGATCTTGATGAAGAAATATATATGACTCAACCATTGGGATTTCGAGTTGTAGGGAAGGATAAGTTGGTTTGCGGGTTAAAGATAGCTATATGATTTGAAGCAGCCTCCTCGACAGTGATATAGGCGATTCAATGGTTTTATGCTTGGTCATTCACACACTCGGAACCAGTTTGATCTTTGCGTGTATTTTTGCAAGTTGAAAGGAGGTGCATACATTTATTTATTACTTTATGTTGATGACATGTTGAAGATTCAGCTCTCAAATGAGTTTGAGATGAAGGATTTAGGTGAGGCTAAGTGCATTTTAGGGATAGGGATAGACAGAGACAAAGAGAAGGGAAGAATTTATTTAATACAGCTAGCTTATTTGAAAAAGGTTCTATAACGATTTTATGTTAGCATGGATACAAAGCCAGTTAGTGTACCTTTGGGAGCCCATTTGAAGTTTTTAGCTGACCTTTCACCGAAAACAGTTAAAGATAGAGAGTTGATGTCGAAGACTCCATATGTGAGCGTAGTTGGGAGCTTGATGTACGCAATGGTATGTACAAGGCCAGATTGTCACAGGTGGTGAGCATGGTTTCTAGATACATGCACGATCCTGGAGTGGGTCATTGGGACGCCGTGCGATGGATTTCGAGGTACATTTGAGGTACGCTCAATGTTGGTTTGGTTTTCGAGCGGGATACTACAGATGGGCAGTTGTGCATTGGTTATATTGATTCGGATTATGCCAGGGATTTGGATAAGCACCGGTCTATGACGTGGTATGTGTTTACTTTGACCCGTGCGCTGGTATGCTGGAGATGCACCTTACAGTGAATGGTGATTTTGTCTATGATGGAGGCAGAATATATGACGATTACAGAGGCTGTGAAGGAGACTATTTGGCTTCGGGGACTTTTGGAGGAACTTGATATATCGCAAAGGTTCGTCACAATTCATTATGATAACATGAGTGTGTTCGCGGGAAAAACCGTTGCTTTCTTTATTGATTCCATTGATTACTTTGTTAACAGTTTATCGGTTACAAAGATCCGGTCTTTTTATAAGATCCGGTTACAATGAAAATCAAAATAAAATAAAAGAAAGATTACAACTTTTTCTCTTGTTTGTCGAACGAATCACGAGCTCCTGTTTTGCGGTCGCTCGCTTGTATGGGTTCTTTGCCTGCGCCGGGGTTGTTTGCCGTGGACCACCGCGCGATCTAGATCCGGTCGGATCTACGCAGTACGACGGGTATTATCCCACGAAGGAAATAATAGCCGGGAGGGATTGATTCACCAAGGAAACAATCGCTCAAGTCTCGGGATCTAAGACCAAGCCTAGATCCGGAGTTCGTACGCGTAGATCTGAGATCTGGTCCTCTCGAACACCTGCCTTACTTGGCGTTGACGGTCGCCGAGCACCAGATCTGGATGAGCAAGTCCTTGAAGTCCTAAAGTTTGAATCTTGTTTGGATCTGAGTCTCGAGTTCAGCAGGGCTTCGCCTCTCTCCAAAATTTCCAACCCCCAAAAATGAACCAAGGCCTAGCCTATTTATAGGCACTCAGATCTGTGCCTAGGCACAGATCTGGGCCGGCCACCTCAGGGTGGCTCGGCTCTGGGCCGAGCCACCTCAAGGTGGCTCGGCGATTGTTCGCTGGAAAATTCGTGTCTTTCTTTGTTATTGATTCCATTGTCATCTTGAGTTACAACTTTTTGAGTTACAAAAGATCCGGTCTTTTTATAAGATCCGGTTACAACGAAAATCAAATAAAAAGAAATGAAAAATTACAACTTTGTTTCCTTGTTTGTCGAACGAATCACGAGCTCCTGTTTTGCGGTCGCTCGCTTTGTGGGTTCTTTGCCTGCGCCGGGGTTATTTGCCGTGGACCACC